TTGTTTTGTCTTGTTTTTTTGTTGTGATTTTTCAGATAACGGTTACTTACACTGCAGCAAACACAGTTGAGGAGATGCCGCTGACGGCACAGGGTCTTTGCACCTGTATTAGTTCAGCAAATACTTATTGAGCGCCTACTGCATGCCAGGCGTCGTGTTAGGTCTGTGATGTGACAGGGAACAAGACAGGCACAGCCGCGTTGCAACTGAAAGGACAACTGAGACAGGGACATTTTTTTTTTTTTTTTATCTTTCTTTGGCATCTCCCACTGTTCTCTGCACAAAGTACGCGGTCAGCCCCCATGTGTTGGTGGATTAACTCATCCCCTCCGTGGATAGGTGCTGACTAATGCTGGGTTCTGCCATCGATACTGTATCAGGGCAGAGAACAGCTATCATATCCACCCCCATTATCAACAAAAAATCTGTCACACATCCTCTCTGTGTGGCGAGGACACGGTGCAGGATCCGCAGAGGGATCATAAGAGCGGTGCTCTTACGTAATCCAAATTAATTGTTCCCGACTGGGGACGCTTACATACCCTAGAACAAAACAAAGTTGTGGTGGTTTTGTTTTGTTTTGTTTTGTTTTTTAAGTGGATGTTTCTGAATCTCCCTGGCTCTGCTCGTCTCCAGAGGTCCCCAGAGGAGTACTCGGGGCTAACGCAGGCCAGCATCGGAGGGGGGAGAAAGGAATTTTATTTATCTGCCGCTAATCCTCATGTGGCGCACACCCAAATCTGGGATTTTCCCGTTCCTGCCCGGAGTATCCTGGGGTGCGGGGTTCATCCACAATTAAAACAGAGGGCGGGTTGCCCCCCTCACCAGCAAGTTGCTCCGTTAAGCAGCTGTAGATTACAGGCCCCGGCTCTGGCTGCCGGAGAAAGCCAGAGGATTTGATTTTGTTAGCAAAAGGTGCCCGGAACCTTGGCAGCCGCGCTCGACTTTACATATTTAAGAGTTGAAATCTAAATATGGAAGCCCCTCTGTCACCGCAAGAGCAGGGGGGTTGCGAGGCCAGGAGATGGGTAGGTAACAATGGCAGGGTTTTACTTGTGGAAGTCAAACGCCCGCGTTCTGTCCAGAAAATCAAACGCTCTGTCTCCCAAGAGTGCAAACCGTCAGCGCCCGGAGCCCGGGGTCCAGCTCTGCCTCCCCCTGTCCCAGCTCGAGCTGGGGGCCGATGACCCGCGCCCTCCCCCAAGCCTCGCTTTACACTCTTAGAAGATGGGGTTAATGCCTACAGAGGTGTCGTGAGCCACCGTGGGGGTGATATGTGGAAGAAAACAAAAAGCATTTTGCTATTATGCTTGGGGCGTGTGGCCACATCTCCACTCTCCCTGACGAAGCTACCAACCACCCATTTCTGAGTTCACGAGATGCCGAGACACTCCAGCCCTGGGGGTCCGAATGGTCCAGGGCAGTGTTGGCAAACTGGGGTCGATTCTCACTGGTGGGTCACGAAATCAATTTGGTGGATCGCAACCAGCTTTTTAAAAACGAAACAGGATGTTACAGAATGTCAGAGTGCCTTGCGTGTTCCCCGGATAGATATTTTTTCCAATAGTCACGTTTGCATACGTGGTTGTGTACTGGGCAGTAATGAAAAATGTGATGGTTCCCGTAAGCCTCCATCACAAAGTTCGGAGTCCCAGAACTCCCTTGGAGAAATAGATACCCAGACCACCCCTGACCTATGGACTCAGAAGCCCGAGAAGTGTGTTTCTGTAAGCGCCTTGGGGGACTTAGGTGCACATGATATGTGTAGTAACCTCTGGTGGGGGGTGGGGGGTGCGGGGTAGGTAGGGGGTGGTGGGGGACACACGTTGTAGAGCCAGCAGATCTGGGTTTCAGTCCCAAGACTGTGGCTGCCCCGTGAGATAGTTTCTTAGCCTGTCAGAGCATCAGTGTCCCCATTTATGTCTGTGCCCCCCTCCTGTGGTCCTCGGGAAGGTGTGAGCTGAGGACACGTCAAATGCGCAATACATGTATTTAGTAGCGGCTGAATGAGTTTTGAGATAAGTTGCAACCTTCCCCATAAGATTAGCACTCCCATCTCCTTCCGCTGCCACACATAACCACCGCAGGGCACTAAGGCTTAGAAACTGGCTGTTGGAGGGGCACCTGGGTGGCTCGGCCAGTTGAGTGTCTGACTCAGGTCCGATCAGGTCATGATCTCACAGTTCGTGAGTTCGAGCCCCACATCGGGCTGGCTGCTGTCAGCACGGAGGCTGCTTCAGATCCTCTGTCCCCCCCACTCTGCCCCTCCCCAGCTTGCATTGTCTCTCTGTCTCAAAAATAATAAATATTTAAAAAAAAAAAGAAAGAAAGAAAAGAGAGAGGAAGGAAGGAAGAAAGGAAAGAAAGAAAGAAACCGACCATGGAGAGCCATGGTTCTCAATGGGCTTGGCCTGCCTCCTGGGTCTATGGTTTATTTAGCTAAGAGTCACCAAAACGGTGTGTTGACTCCAGACCAGTGACTTGTGGTGGTGTTCATCCTTTTGTTCCTAGGACTGTTTTCAAAGTTTTGAATTTTGTTTGCTGTTGTTATTGCTTTGGTTTGGTCTCATCTGTGCTAAATGCTCTTACTAAGCCAGGTAGACGTTGTTAGATGGCAAAATACCCGGATCAGTGTAGCCCACCTGGACAGAGAAATCGGGGTTCTGCTCTTAGAAGCCCAGGTCGGCCCCAAAGGTAGCGGAACTTCCTGTGACCTTGCCCACTCCGGCCACCAGCCTGAAATAATGACAGAGACCAGCTCTGACCCTGGCTTTGTGAGCAGTTGGCCAAAGCCCCTCTGTGCCACAGTAACTGAGTACCAACAGAAGCCACCGACAATCTGGCTGTTTCTTTTTTGCTAACGAGCTTACGTATAATAATATTAAATGGCTTTAGCTTGGGGAATACAGGCGTTGTCGGGATGGGGGCAGTGTGTGGGATCTTCACACCGTTCCCAAGGACAGAGAGTTTTAGGAAAACAGACTCGCTGGGATCATCCAGGCGTCCCACTGGGACTGGAAAGTCAAGAGGCCCTTTGTTACTGGCTGGTCTTTGACTTTCAGCCCTCCCTGTAAACCGTTAGCCCGAGGCTGGGGCTTGCTGCCATCGGTCAGCATGGAATTTTGGATAGCAAAAGGATGAGGACGTATGAACAGGAGCAGCATCTCTGGGCCCTCCCAGTGCATGTACACATGCCCAGCACAATCCATTACTCCAAACTAGGAGCTGGCGGTGGTGGCCCACATGGGTAGGGAGCTTCGGGGCATGTCACTGAGGGAGACCTGAGGCCTCACTGGGGCTACAGGGGCTAGGTTCCTGGGCCTGGGTGGGTTCTCATTGCTCCAGCATCTGGGGCAGCCCCACAGTACAGAGGGCCCATCAAGGCCTCAGTGGATCTTTGTGGAAGGCAGGTATAGGGCCAGGTTGACCCTAATCAAATAGCCTGGGCAGAGGGCACACAGGGACTTCTCGACCTGATGCTAGAAAGGCTTGGGTGATGAGAGTCTCCTAAATTAGTTGTTCTTAGTCCTCCCCGCACAGGAGCATCATCGCTGAATTTCTAAAAGCTAACGGTGCCTCAGCCCCACCCCAAACCAATCTAGTCTGCATTTCCGGGCCAGGCGTGGGCATTCATATTATTCCCCAGCCCCCCCAGGCGATCTTACCATGTAACCAGATCTGAAAACCACAGTCCCAGACTCAGGGGTAAAAGGCACTTCCCAGGCATCTGAGCAAAGCCCAGGAAATCCACCTGAGTTAGGGAAGCAACAGTTTGGGGCCGGGGAGCTGGTTGAGAGACCCCAGCGTGGCATCTGGCTCGTTCAAGATTTATTCCTGATGGTCCGTGTTGGGGGCCTTTCCTTCCCCCTCAAATTTTTTTTTTTAATTGTAGTAAAATAACACAAAATTTACTCTCTTAACCAGTTTTAAATGTTCAGTTCAGTGATATTAAGTACACCCACGCTGCGGTGCAACCCTCCCCACCATCCATTTCCACGGCTCTTTTCATCTTGTAACACTGACCCTGTGTCCCCATTAATCACTAACTCCCTACTGTCCCCAACCCCCAGCCCCTGGCAATCACCACTCCACCGTCTCTGACTTTTACTGCCTCAGAGAAGTGCCCTGATGTAGTATTTGTCTTTTTGTGACGGGCTCATTTCACTTAGCATCATGTCCTCGGGGTTCGTCCATGGCAGAGCAGGTGTCAAAACTACCTTCCTTTTCACTTAAAAAAAAAAAATTTTTTTAACATTTTATTTATTTTTGAGACAGGGAGAGACAGAGCATGAACAGGGGAGGGTCAGAGAGAGGGAGACACAGAATCCAAAACAGGCTCCAGGCTCCGAGCTGTCAGCACAGAGCCCGATGCGGGGCTCGAACTCACGGACCGCGAGATCATGACCTGAGCCGAAGTCGGCCGCTTAACCGACTGAGACACCCAGGCGCCCCCCTTTTCACTTTTTTTAACGTTCATTTATTTATTTTGAGAGAGAGAGAGAGAGCACAAACAGGGGAGAGACAGGGAGAGGGAGAGAATCCCAAGCAGGCTCAGTGCTGGCAGCGAGGAGCCTGAAGCGGGAGCTCGATCTCACAAACCATGAGATTGTGACCTGAGCCGAAATCAAGAGTCAGGCGCTCGACCAACTTGAGCCACCCAGGTGCCCCCAAACTGCCTTCCTTTTTAAAGGCTGAATAATATTCCACTGTTTAGAGTGATGACACTTTGCCTATCGATTCATCTGTTGGTGGACGCTCGGGCTGCTCTCGCATTTTGGCTATCGGGCACAGTGCTGGTACCAGCATGGGGTATATACCAATCTCTTCAGGACCCTGCTCGTAGTACTTTGGGTGTGTATACCAGAAGTGAGAGTGCTGGAGCCCATGGTAATTGTATTTTTAATTTATTGAGGAACCTCCCTCCTGTCTTCCATAGCAGCTGCAGCCTTTCATATTCCCACCCACGGTGCACGAGGTCTCACATTTCTCCATTTACTCTCAACACTTGTTTTCTGGTTTTTTGACGGTAGCCATTCTAACAGGCACGAGGCAACATACTATGGTTGGATTTGCATTTCTCTAATGATCAGTGATGCAGAACATCTCTTCCATTGCTTATTGCCCATTCAGAGATCTTCTTTGGAGAAACTTCTGTTCAAGTACTTTGCCTATTTTTGAATTGGGTTGTTTGTTTTTCTTTTTCTTTTTCGAGTTTATTTGAGCGTGAATGGGGGTAAGGAGAGAGAGAGGGAATCCCAAGCAGGCTGTGCACCGTCAGCACAGAGCCTGACGCAGGGCTCGAACTCACGACCCATAAGATCATCACTTGAGCCGAAATCAAGAGTCGGACGCTTGATCAACTGAACCGCCCCGGTGCCCCTGTGTCATTTGGTATTCCGTTGTTGAGTTTAGTAGTTCTCTATGTATTGCGGATATTAATTCCAAATATTAACTCCAAAGGTGCTGGAGACCTTTGTAACCCCAGTCTTCAATATCAGTAGATCAGAACTAAGAAAAAGTTGGTGTGGTTCAGAAGTTGCTAAGAGATTTGGCGTTCTTGATAGATACTTCAGGAAGTGACGAGGATTTGGCTGTGACTCGCAGGTGGGGAGCCTTCCACTTGGGGACTGACCATTTTAATTTGACCTGACTGTGGGGAGTAGCACAGATGCAACGATGGCTTTTCCCAACAGGCTGTGTTGAACCAGGAAATTGTTAAAGATGGGACAAAGACATCCTTGAAGTGGTTAAAAGCTAAGGAAAAACAGAGATGCTTAGGAGGATAGAAACTGGGGGTCTTCTGGCAACTAGTATTTTTCAGGGCTCAAAGATGCTGTACTTGGGAACCTCTCTATGAACATATAGTGGCTAGTCATTAGAACATGTTTGTTTCTTCATAGAAGTACTGTAAGCAATTCTCCCAAACAATGTTCTTTCGCATACTGAGGTGTCACATCTTGGTGGGAGGAGCGAGAATGAGGCACGGTAGCAGAATTGGACCCACTTCGAGCCGTGCCTGAGGGGTGTGCGGACAAAACCGTCTCTCAACCAAACCCCTGGATCGATGCTGACAAGCTGGGCTGGAAGGAAATCCAGGAGGCCCAATTGTAGCTTCCCCGTGGAAAGCTCAAAAGCAACCCATAAAGAGTACCCTGAGGGACCGTCATACTGCCGCATGTCAATTAAACCCTTACAGGCTCTCCTTGGAGAAAATGCAAATGTGCGCACTGCTTGATAGGTCCCTGCTATTTTCATCCCTTATGCAATGAACACAGGGCTCTCCTGCCCCAAATCTCTCGGTGGTTCCTCAGTACCGCCCAGTGCCTCTCCCCCACACCTGCCACGAAGCCCTAACCCTTGGTGCCCTGTGCTGTCCATCACCCCGGCTTCGTCTGGGGGGGTGCTGCAGAACGCTGATCCATACAGCGCTTCCCCCACATCTCCAGCTCCAGCTTTGGGAAGCACGGACTTCCCACTGAGGCTGATTTAGTGGCTTGCCCGGGGTCACAGTGTCACGCGAGACTATACCACCAACAGCAGACTCTGGAACACCTCATTTGTCGTCCACCAGAACTTGACCTGCCACAGAGTCCGAGGCTAGAGCTACAGATCAGCACTTCCCAGCTATTTACGGGCCGCAGCTTCTGTTTAGGTTTGTGAGTCTCCATCTCTGCACATCCCCTTCCAGGCAGGAGAGTGCCCTAGTGGGGTTTCCCGCTGAGGTGTTCGTGAGTCGGGGCGTGGACGGGAGGGGAGGGACCGGCACCCATCAAGCCTAGGGCTTCACAAATAGCGTCAGGTGACCCAGCCTGCAGGCCTCTGAGCCGCTGTCACGACTGGTGCCAAAGCCACCTGCCAAGTACGCTTGTCACTTTGTGTTTATCTTTAAATCAACCTAAAACCAGTTCACCTTTTTATCTCCCCTCATCTCAGGCCGATTATTATTTGTGAAACTATGGCTTTGGTATGCTGGGAGACACCTGGTACTCTAAGATACGTTAAAATATGAGCAAAACTAGTACAATGTTTTTAAACGTCTTTGAGGGGCTTGGGTATGAAAGGTCGGCTGTCCGGACCGCCAGGTCAATGATCTCATGGGTCCTGCGAGTTCGAGTTCGGCCAGGCTCTGGGGTCGATGGTCAGCCTGGAGCCTGCTCCCATTCCCAGGTCTCCCTCTCTCTCTGCCCCCTCCTGTTCCAAGCCTGTCTCTGGGTCCCAAAAATAAATAAACGTTGAAAAAAAAAAAAAATTTTAAACGTCTTTGAACTGCACTCCATCAGAAGTCCTCTGGTGGCTGCCAGAATAACACAGTTTGGGGAAGAAACCGCCTCACTTTATCAGATGCTCATGATTCAGTCAGTCCTTACATACCTGCAGGCTGGAGGCATGATTGTCATTTTTCCGTTGGGGAAACTGAGGCTCAGAGAGTTCAGGGAGTAGTAGTAAGATCATGCAGAGAGGGGGTCATGGGGCTGGGACTGGAACCCAGAGTCTTGACTACCAAAGCAACCCCCGCCTTCCTTCCCCTCTGCCAGGCAAGCCGATGAGCCTTTGGTGGAATCGCTGCGTCTGTCGTCCCCCTGGCCCTAACTCCATCCTTCCTTTCTTCCGCAGTCCACCCTGGGCTTCGTGGCCCTCGTGCTGAGCACCCTCCACACGCTCACCTATGGCTGGACCCGTGCCTTTGAAGACAGCCATTACAAGTTCTACCTGCCTCCCACCTTCACGCTCACGCTGCTGGTGCCCTGTGTCGTTATCCTGGCCAAAGCTCTGTTCCTGCTGCCCTGCTTCAGCCGCAGACTCTCCAGAATCCGGAGGGGCTGGGAGAAGGACGGTGCCACCAAGTTTCTGCTGCCGATGGACCACGCCCTGGCCCAGAAGACGAGCCACGTGTGAGGTGCCCGCCTCTGGCCCCAGAAACCAGACACAGGCAGGACGGTGCCCTGGGCCTGTCGGGGCTGCTTTTCTCGATCGAGCAGGACGGTGAAATTGTGCACACATTGGTGGTGTGAGGTCTGAATTCCTGGGACACCAATGTAGGTGGCAACATTCAGAATGGCACACACGTGTGTGTGTGTGATATATATGTTCATGTATATTTCATATATATATACATATATATATATATAACAGGATTTGCATTTATATTTAAAGAGTTGAGCCCCTGAGATTTCAACTTGTAGATTTAAAAGCAAGAGCCAGATGTTAGAACAGCAGCTCACACTGTTGTGATCTCTGCAGAAATAGACACACACTCTTTGCACAGAAAAGGCAGTAAGAGGCTCGTACCTTGGTGGATTCCATCCATTTGTGTCCCACTCCCTTTTTGCTGCTTTCCCAAGGCTTTTGTCGAGTTGGAGCCCAAAGGGGGCAGATAAGAGCTCTGCCTGGAGCCTCATGGGATCACAGGGTGGAAGGGTCGCCAGCGAGCAGGGGGTGGGCTCCTCCCTCATTCACCTTCAGCAGCAGCAGGAGGTCAGGCGGTTGCTAGGACCCTGGGGGGTGAGCCTGGTGTCTGTGCCCTGGGAGCAAATTAAAGATGAGTTCTTTGCGGGGTAGGGGGTGCAGGGG